CACACCGCAGCCATGCCTCCAAGGCTGTCACCCTGGCCCACAGAGCCCCATCCCTGTCCTGGATACTACAGGAGCCTCCCAAGGGCCCCTACTTTAGCCTTTGCCTCGCTGAAGTCCTTTCCCCACACAGCAGCCAGAGTGACTGGAAAAACATGAGTCAGCTCAAGCCAAACCCTCCTGTGGCGCTCATTCCACTTGGAGAAAAAGCCAGTTCCCCCCGAACTGGGTTCTGATCGCTTCTCTGATGTGTCCTCTCTTACCTTCCTTCTACCCCACTCCTGCTTCTACACACAGGCATCTGCCTAGCTCTCATATACCCCAGCACACTGCCACCCCAGGGCTTTGCACTGGCTGTTCTATTCCTGGAATGGTCTCCCCTCCTGACCTAGCATTTTAAATGGTACCACTGAGCCTGGGGTTGATTCTCCATTTGCAAGCTTACCTCTTTTACTTCCTCCAGGCCTGTGCTCCTATGATCCCTGGCCCTGAGGATCCCAGACCCTCCTTGAAAGTTGCAAACTGCCCTCTCTGCCTCTTCCCCTCACAGCTCTATTCAAGCACATACTCCTTGGGCAGGGACTGTTGTCTGGGTTGAAGCCCAGTGGATTCTGGGGCCTAGAACAGGGCTTGGCACATAGGAGGCACTCCCCAGGCGCTGGTTAGATAAAGTGAGGGAAAATGCTACGGACAAAAACATTCCATTGTAAAATAATATAGCAACAAGTATATATAACTTCACCTTCAATGTGAATAATAACACACAAACAAGCTGGGCACAGTGTCACACATCTGTAACTTAGCTCTCTAGAATGCTGAGGCAGGGGATCACAAGTTTGAGCCCAGCGTGGGCAACTTAGCAAGTGGATGAGACCCTATGTCAACACAAAAAATAGAAAAGGGCTGGGGATATAGCTCAGTGTAAAGATTCTGGATTTAACTCCTTGTATTGCAGAAAAAAACAAAACAAACAACAGCCCCAAAACTTACTACTGAGCTTCAAATCAGGGCATGGCCCATTCATTTGCCATCTCTGAGCCTCTTTCTCACATTCCCCCTTTCCCGCACCTCCCAAAGTTAACCACTGTCTTTAATCTGTGTTAATCCCTCTTCTACTTTTCTTTACCATTTTCCCCATCTGGATATATCCCTCCATATGTATATTCTACATATGCCCACACAGGCAAAATACATGTAACAAGTGTTTCTTCATTCACATTTTAAAAAATGTGTTTAAGTACATGGAAATCCTGACCATAGTCTTTCCTAAATTATGGGTGACTTTTAATTTCCTTTCCATCCATTTCTGTATTTTCCAAAGCTTTCCTAATGAGTGATAGAAAAGAATGAAATACTTTCCCAGAGCTACCCGAATGGCCTCTCTGTGAAGCAGGAGGCAAATAAATATCGTTTCTGCCCTGTGCTTCTCTGTGACTTACACTCCAAAGAAGGCTCAGATTTGTTTAACATGGCAGAAAAGCAAACATTGCTTAAATGAATTTTAAAAATGGCGCACCTGGAGGGGCTGCTGGGTGAGTGGCAGTGGGGCTGTGGAAATCCTGTCCCCCAGGAGGCACCCCTAGGTAAGCTGCTATTCTGGGTGTGATTTATAAAAGCTGAGAGTGTGCCAGGTGGTCTCTGCTCTTACTGTGGAGATTTATGTCTTCTATTATTACAGATGCCAGGAGTCGGATTTCTTACCTTTTGGTACTGTCAAGGATGGTCTCTTACTCACGCTGAGGGCATGGGACAGGGCATGATGTGCCCTGTGATGTCTCCGTGCCTGGCCTTCTTCTCTTTGCCTTCTCTCTTTCTCTTGCCTAAAGAAAGACTCAGGGGTCACAGAGCTGAACTTCCTGGACCCCATCCTGGTGGGGCCCATGGCAGTGTCTTGGTGCTCCCGTCGTCCCATCTGTGTAGTGGATATGGAAATAAACCAGCCTGGGGTGTAGCTCAGTGGTGGGGTCCTTGCCTTGCATGTGCAAGGCCCTGGCTTCTATCCCCAGCCTTAGAGACAGTGACAGTAATAAAATTTATGAAGGACAATGATAAACTAATGGCCTCAGAAGATTTCCCTGGACCAGCACCACATACAAGGTTCTCTCCATGCACGTTGGCTGGCCTTCAGTCACCGTCTTCCAAGTTTCTATTTTGGCTGTTGTACTTTCTATTTTTAGTATTTCCATGGTGCCCTTTTATTTTTAGCACCGTGCTTAGAACACCTGGAGCTAATGTCTCCAGTGTCACAAGAGGGGACCTTGAACATTTAGGATTTAGGATCCTCCCATCCCATCCCACATCCCCATGTGTCTCTCCTGTTGTCACAATGTTTGATTTGTGTGCTTAGGTAACACATATATTATATAGTGTTTTCCTTTAACCTCATTTTAAAAAATCTTTTTAACTTTAGTCTTTTGTTATTGCATTAAATATTTATTTGGTAATGAAACTTTGGATTTTCTCTGGCAGTTTCCCCCCAATCTCCCCCCACAACTCCCACTCCCCATGTACACATGCACGCACGCATGAACACACACACATGCACACACACAAGTGCCTGTACAAATGCATTCAGGCACATGCTTGTGAACAAGGAGGCAGATACACACCTACACGTATGTATGACAGACACACACTTACACATCTACATACAAACATGCGCCTATGCCTGTAGGCATGCACACACACCAACGCACACTTCACCCACGTGCACACTATGGAAGCCCATTCACATCTCCTGGAACCTCCACTCCCTCCTCCTCATCAGTGCTTCTGAATCCTGAGTCCTGCATCCTAATTCCTCAGCATCTTGCTAGCACCTCCCAGGACAAATCAGTGGACAAGCATCTCACAGGATGGAGTTGTAAGACCACCCGAGCAGGGGTGGACTGAGGGCAACAAGAGCCTGCCAGTCCCAAACAAAGAAAAGGTAGAAAGCCTTATGGGCATTGGAAGAGGGGTTCCGCACACCTTTCACATATAGGGGTCACAGCAAGTATTTGTAGTCAGGGTTCATGCAGCGATCAAGGCAGATCTGTGGATATTTTCAGGTGACTTTCTGAAATGATGCTGTACTTCAAGGCTGTTATCTCTGTGTTGGTAACATCTATCCTGTGTTCTGTGTTCTACCTCCTCTGAGATAGCATGGCTTTTGTCAGGCAGAAACAGCACCTTCATCGCTGCCTGTTTTGTTGTGGGTCTCTTTGTATCTTGTCAAACTGTAGCTTGGAATTAAAGAGCATATTTATTAACCATTTCATGACCAGGTCGAGCTTGACCAAAGTCCCAAAACCTGGGATTCTGATGGCAAGAGATGAAAGGGAAAGGACATCGCAGCACCCTCTGCCTGGGAAGGATCCAGGAGCAAAAAGCAGAAGCTGGTGCAGAACACTGGGTCCTGTGCAGACAGGCTGCAGCTTCATCCCTGGCACTGTCTTGCTAATTTCGCAGGTTTGATTATTGCACTGGGACAGAGCAGATGCCAACTAGATGGAAAGCTGGCTGAGGGCTAAGTGGGAACTCTGTACTATTTCTACAGTTTTTTGTAAGTCTCCAATTAACTCAAATAGTTTTTTTAAAATATCACCTTGGGAGTTTCAAATACATATATTCATTTTTAGAACCTCTCTCCAAATATAGTCACCTTCTGAAGGATTCAGGGCAGGATAGCAACAGGTAACTTCGGGGGGACACAGTTCAGCAAGTCACAGTGAAACCCACTGATTCCCTGCAGTCCCTCTGGGCTTCCCCCAGAGCACAGTTCTTAGGCTGCACTTCCCTAAATCTACCTAGAGGACACCATGCACCTCAAGGGTGCCTGACAGGTACACCCTTGGGAGCCCAGGCAGGACTGGCCCTGGGTGCTGGGACCGAACAGAAGGAGACAGGGTGGGGACAAGCAGGCTCCAGGCTGTGTCTCTAGCCAACACCCAGAGGTCTCACTCACCAGGACCACCGGGGCTTCTACAGCCCTGGCCAACAGAGCTTCCTACGATGCTTACAATATCCTCCAGCGGTGCCATCCAGTACAGCAATCAGTGGTCACCTGTGCCTATGAGGACTTGAAATACGTCCACTGTGAGTGAGAAGATGTATGTCAAATTTTATTAATTTTTATTTAAATTGCCACACATGGCCCAAGGCTGCCAGATGGATGAGCATTGTGGGTCCACGTTCTCCCATCTCTTCCTCGTGCCATGCAGACAACAGGCGAGGTGTATGTTTCCTTGCGAAAACCACCACTGTGCCATGGAGTTCGTGGTGGGAAAAGACTCTCAGGTGCCTATTGACCTGTGTCTCCCCCAGAGACCACAGGCGACCCTGAGTGGAAGCAGACCATCTTCCCTGAGAAGCAATCCAAAATAAAACAGCACACAGATCCATTGTCATTTGAGGCTCCAGGATCCAAATACCTAGGCTCTTCTGGGTCAGGTAGGAAGGAAGTGGTCCCCTCAGCCCAGCACAGTTTGAGGCAGCCACGGCTCACTCCAGGCTCCACAGTGTCCTTGCAGCCCCTCAACCAGATTGAGATTTACATACACAGAGGAGCTGCTCCAAAGAACATCGCTGCAAGCTGCATCAATAATAAATGAACAGCCACAGCCTGCTCAAGGAGGCTTCTCACCCTTCGAAGCACATGGGGTATCTGGATCCTAGGACTGTGGTGGGGGTGGCGTTGTCTCCCCTTCCCTATCAGGGCCAGCCGGGGCCACCAGGGCAGCCTTTGTCCCAGTCTTCAGGGCAGGCAGCAGGGTGACCCTTGCCCTGGCTCCAGATGTGAGTTTCTGATAACAAAGTCCCCGAGGCTGGCCCTCAGGTGGCTTCTTATCCCTTAGGACAGCTGTCTGGCTTCTCTCTGGGGACAGTGAGAACAGTGGGAAGGCCACGCTGAGAGAGATGGCCCCAGACTGTGAGGCTTGCTGGAAGCCAGGACTCACCCCACTGGTTTGTCACCTGTGCTAGAAGAGTCTGTGAAAGGACACTTCTGTCATCTTTTGTTACAGAGCCTGCAGTCTAGAGGGCACAGTCTGAGAAACTCTGGAAATATTTACCACCCTCTCAGAGCTGATCAAAAATAGGAGATCCTGGACAGGAAGTCCTTTCCTGGAAGGCAACTTCAGGAAGCTTATCAGGAAAATGGAGAAGTGAGGTAAGGGTTTTAGGTTGACCTGCATCCCCCCAGAATGCATATGTTGACTGCTACAACCCCCAAAGTGACTGCATCTGGAGACAGAGCCTTTATGAAGGTGATTAAGGTTAAATGAGGTCATGTGGGTGGAGCGCTAACCAAGGGATTGGTTCCCTTAAGAAGAGACACCAGAGAGCCAGCACTCTCCCTCCCCTTCCACCCCTTCCCCTCTTCCCCATCCCCATCCCTCAAGAACAGAGGAAAGGCCATGCCAGGACACAGTGAGAATGTAGGCATCTGCAAACCATTAAGATCCAGACTCACCACCTCCAGACCTAATAATACATTTGTGCACTTAAGCCCCATGTGAACTTAGTTCCAGCAGCCCCAGCAAAGTCACGCAGGAGGGAGGCCAGCCCAGAAGGGCAGTGTCCTCAAACTGGGTACCCTGGGCAGTGAAGGCTAGGCTCTGGAAAACTCTGTGGAATGTGGCTCATCCCAACTTACCCTCCTGGGAGGGCAGGGGGAGCCTGGTTGTTTATCCACCCATCCTGGCAGTACTAAGGTGATACAACTCCTAGGAAGCAAGAAGGTCCCGGCTGCAAAACAGCTTCAGGGAAAGTCCAAGGGTGAGAGGCTGCAGCTGCTGGCAGCTGGATGTCAAGTCAGTGTCCTAAGAAGTCAGTTCCAGGGTACACAGCCAGGGACCAGCACACTTCAGCCACAATCTCGCCAATCTGGACACCTGGTAAGAGTCACCACATGCAGAGCTAATGGTTGGTGAGGGGCCCAGAGTCCAACAATAGCAGCAAGCTGTGAGCAGCCCAGGCCATTGGAATTGCTGAAGGTAAGAACAAGGACACCAGAACTCTAGCTGGAATACGAGAGCCTTTCCTCCAACACCCTAGTTCTGGCTTAAGCAACAGGATGGTGACCATGCAGTCCTATGCTGGTGAATATTCAGTGACCATGCTTTTAATGCAGGCCAGCCCTGATATGTAGCATCTATCTGCCTAGTCTGTGGTGCAAATATTTCCACCAAACCCTATTTCAAGCCACCAACAACCACACTAACCAGCTGATAAAAGTTCCTGAAAGTTTAACAAACAGCTGTCACCAGTCACTAGATGATAGTGTTTTGAGGGTAAGCCAGAGGGAAAATAATAACTATGATAATTGTAATTGCGGGCCATGCCTAACACTTACTGAGTGCTTGCCACATGCCAGTTTGTGTTCCAAGCCCTACATGAAGAAACTGATTGAATAGTTACATCAACTCTGTGAGGGCAGTTCTATTAACGGCATCCATTTTGTTGACAGTTCAGTTGCCAAGTCCAGAACAACTTGGTTAAGAAGGTCCAGAGCCAGGATTGGGACCTGCTCCATGTTGTTCTGTGGCCTAGCCCATTGTATACCGACTTCCACAGAGTCTATGGAATGTGGCTCATCCAGACCTTAATGTGTGTGAACGGAGCAATCCATGTTCTTCATTTTGTCCTTCATTTAGGAACTGGGACTCAACAATGAACCCAGGAGCAACCATGAAACTGAAAGTCCACAAGGAACGGAATTGCCAAGGTAACCACAAGTAAGCAGCCGAGTGAGGATAAGGACCCAGGCTCTGCCTTCTAGAAGTTTCTGCCCCCAGCCCCACTGCCTTTCCTGGGGGTGGGCAGAGACAGTTTGGCCCCTAGAACCGGAGTTCTACAGAGGAGACCAAGTGCCCTTGGGACCTCAGCACAGAGAGGATTCAAGCCAAGGTGCCAAGGAGGAAGATAATAACTAGAGGACCCAGCTACGGGACAAGCCAACACTCAGAGACTTGGCATAAGACAGAAGAGAAGCCAAAGGGAGAGAGAGGCTGCTCTGTGCTCTCCGAGTGTCTGCATCCACTTGCCTTCACAGGGCCAAACTAGCAGCCTGAGCTACCCACACCTCCCGTTGTTCAGCTTTTGTGGCCACATGAACATATATGACTGACAGGAAGAGAGCTAGGTATTTGGTCTCAGGCCCTGGTTCCTGGCACAGAGTTTCCAAAACGCTTGTGATTTCCTGAGCAATAAAAGTGCTAAGAGTATGTTCTATTTCTGGTTGGTCTCTGACCCCAGTTCCTGACCCCAAGCACCTAATCCCTTGCAACTCCTGGGTGACGGGAGTGTCTTTTCTCCTAAGGAAGCTACTCTCAGAGAGCAAGAGAGACAGGAGACAGAGTTAATAGCCAGTCCTGACTATGTGGTGAAGCCTTCATGAAAATCCCCAGCCTGAAGACCTTGAGAATTTGCAGATAGGCAACACATCTGCTCTGAGTGCTGAGAGGAACCCCCAACTCCATGGGACAGAAGCTTCTGTTCTCGGGGCCCTCCCAGACCTCACACTGTAGGCTCCATCTATGTCCTTTATAATATCTTTTTTTTTTTTCCCCAGTACTGGGTGATTAACCCAGGGCCTTTTCAGTGAGCTACATCTTCAGCCATTTATAAAATTTATTTTGAGACAGGATCTCTCTGAGTCACTAAACTGCCCAGGTGATCGTCTTGCCTCAGCCTCCCAGGTGTGCTGTCCCTTCCAGGGCAATGATAACTGACATTAGTTTTACTTCCCCACAGCATTACCCCTACTGCGTCACCACTCAGTTACCTTTACACATAAAGAACCCTGCATAGATCCCAAACACCATGGAAGATAAGGTTACTGAGGCAAAGAAAGAAAAGAAGCTCCTTTTTGTAATCCCAGCACTCTGGGAGGTTGAGGCAGAAGGATGAGGCCTGGACAACTTGGTGGCTGAGCAAGAACCTGTCTCAGAATGATAAGAGCTGGGGATGTAATTTAGTGCCAAGACCCTGGGTTCAATCCAGTACCTCAAAAGGAAAAATAGGAAGGAAGGAGAAAGAAAAGATGAAAAGAGTTCTTTGAAGAAGGAGGAGTGGCCAAGCTGCTGGATCCACCCACAGCAAGTGCAGAACAGGAAGCCCCTCCAGCCCTGGCAGTGCAGACCCCTGGGGATTACTGTGCACAACTGGGGCCAAGGCCCAGAGGCTGAGGAACAACCGATAATGCAGAACTCAGCTCAGACCAGAGCCCAGCGAGTGGCTGGGCTGGGAGGCAGGGGAGGCCATGGCTGGTTATTTGAAGCTGGAGATGATCCTGCAATCTGCAGGGGGCAGAAGGTCGGGGGAAGGAGGGAGATAGTGCAAGATGCCGCTGGGCGCCTTCCCACACAGGCTGCGCTTCCAGGAAGGCCATGAATAAATGATTAAAGGTCGGCATCGATACCCAGCCCCGAGGCCCGTTTATTTCTGATTCAAGTCTTTTCCAGGGGTTGCTCTGAATGAAGCAACCCCTAGACCCTAATAAAAATAACTGGCTCCCTGAGCCTGTGAAACTCTCGACCCCATTCCCAGAGCTCTTCTCCAGCAGTTAGTGCCTCTCCCCTTTTCAATGGGATCGCTGGCTCTGCTCCTGTTTGCAGAAAGGGCCTCCAGAAGGTCACCTTTGAGAGGGTGGAGCAATGGTCTGTCCCCAGTGCTGCCCTAAATCTGGCTGGCAAGAGCTTGTGTATACAGGGAGAGCACCCAGAAAGGATGGGGCTGGTTGGAGCCCCAACCAGCTGTGACAGCCACAGAGCCTCTGTCATTTGTTTTGGTTTTTGAGGCAAGGTCTTTCTAGGTATTCAAGGCTGGCCTTAAACTCACTGTGTAGCCCAAGCTGTCCCCCAACTCAAATTTGCAGTGATCGTCAGGCCCCAGGCTCCTACATGCTAGGATTACCAGCCGGCACCACCACGCCCTGCTAGACTCTTTGCCCTGCAGAATTTAGGCACTTTTTGATAAGAGACTTTTCCAAAAAAGCATCTCTCCAAGAAGATTTCTCTTCAAAAGACTGAGGCCTGTCTGAGACACTTTCCCCAGGCACTACAAGGCCATAAATTTCGTCTCCTCTCCTGTTTGTGAGTTACAGCAGCTTCCCAGTCATTTATTATTCATCATTATTACAGTGACATATCCCGCCTCTAATTCACTGTCTCCAAGTGCTGATTTCATCCTGTTACTTAAATGCTCACCCACTGGAATTTCTTCTGACAAACTGTGGGCCCCACTCTGGCATTATCTTTCCCCAAACAGGCATGATCCACGCAGGACTTTATTGGTGTTCTTGTAAAAGAGCCCTTCAGACGCAGTCAAGGCCTCTGTATATCACTGATCACTTAGCATGCAGGGCAGACAAATGAGCAGTAAATGAAGCTGCCACCCCTATGGTTTCCCCTGTGTCCAGGAAAGCTTGGGACACATCCCATGGCTCATGAATGTCCCCCACCAACTGCTGCACCCTAAGGCTGCCCAGGGAGGGGGAGGAAGGTTGAGTGAGCACCCTGGGAAGGGGCTGTATATTCTCAGATCCAGAGAACCCACTCCCTTCCATGGGGCTCAGAGCCTGGAGCCAACCCTGCTATAGACTTCAACCTGCACTGTATCGAAACTGTATCCAAGCCAGGTGTGGTGGTGCACACTGGCAGTCCTGGCACTCTGGGAGGCTGAAGCAGGAGAATCACAAGTTGAAGCCCAACCTGGGCAACTCAGTGACTTAATGAGACTCTGTCTCAAAATAAAAACTATGGGGACTGGGGATTTAGCTCAGTGGTTCTGCTGCCTACCTCGCAAGCACAAAGTCCCAAGTTCAATCCCCAGTACCAAAAAAAAATAATAATAATAATAAAGGCTGGGGATGTAGCTCAGTGGTACCATGCCAGCCTGGCAAGTGCAAGGTCCTGAGTTCTATCCCCAGTACCAGTGTGAAGGCCCTGGGTTCAATCCCTAGTAGGGGGAAAAAAACTTGCCTGCTTAATGATCTGAATAGACATTTAAAGACAACATTCTAATGACCAGCAGGGATATGAAAAGGTGCCCAGCATCACTAACCATCAGGGAAATGTAAATCAAAACCACAAAGAGGTATCCTCTGCCCCAGTTAGAGTGGCTGTTATCAAAAAGACAAAAGATAACAAATGCCGGTAAGCATGCAGAGAAAGGGGAACTCTTGTACACCGTGGGTAGGAATGTAAATTAGTACCATCACTATAAAACCAGGATGAAAGTGCCTCAAAAAAAAAAAAAAACTAAAAATAGAGCTGGGCATGGTGGTACATGCCTATAATCCCTGCTAGCTGAGGCAGGAAGGTGGAAAGTTCACGTCCAGCCTGGGCAGCTTAGTAAGACTTTGTCTCAAAATTTTAAAATTATAGCCAGATGCGTTAATACACTTCTGTAATACCAGCACTCAGGAGGCTGAGCCAGGAGGCTTGCTGCTAGTTCAAGGCCAGTCCAGACTACATAGTGAGTTCAAAGCCAGCCTGAACTACATAGTGAGACCCTGTCTCAAAAATATTTTTTTTAATTACTAAAGAGTAGGGGATATAAATCAGTGGTTGTGTGCTTGCCTAGAAGTGCTGAGACCATGGGTTCAATCATCAGTATCACAAAAAAACTAGAAGTAGTACTGCCCAGGGATCCAGCAATTTTCCTACTGATAACATGTCCAGAGGAAAGGATTTCATATATCAAAGGCATACCTACACTCACATTTATTTTAGCCCAAAGAGTGGAATCAACCCAACTGTCCATCAACAGATGAATGGATAAAGAAAATGTGGTACACATACATGCACAATGGAATGGAATTAGTTTCTGGCCAGGAAAAAAAAAAAAAGAATACAATCCTGTCATTTGCAGCTGTTGAGAAAGGAATTGGTAAGTAACATGTACAGAGAAGCAGAATGGAAGTAAAATAATAAAAAGTTTATTTTGCCAGCAAAGATCAGTTGCACTCAAAAAGGCAGTGCCAATGATTGACCTCGACTGGGTTGCAGCTTCTTATTTTACAGATTTTACAGCTATGATGTCATTCAGGTGGTTACATTTCATTGCCTCAGTTCACATTACCCATGTACAAATTACAGTAACAAGACAGTTAACTTAAACCCAGAGGTAACAATTCCTTACAGTTGGGGAGTTTACCTTAAGATTCATCTAGCTATCTATTCTAGTGCACAGGAAGTGGGTGTTCAAGGTCAGGGATGAGGCCAGATGTCCTATTTCACGGTCAATGCCTCTGGTGTCTGTTAATTTTGAACTAAACAAAGCAGATTGCTGTTAGAGACAGCAGAAGTCGTTTTACATTTTCCTAACATTTTGTCGGTTTTTAGATTATTTACAAAAGTTATCTGTATCACAGCAACATGGATGAAGTTAGAAGATATTATGTTAATTGAAATAAGTCAGACATAGAAAGACACATACCATATGTTCATAGAGGTAGAAACTAAAAATGTTGCCAGGCAGGGTGGTGCCTGCCTGTAATCCCAGCACTCTCAGAGTTCAAATTCAAACTCAATTTGGGCAGATTAGAAATTTAGTGAGACCCAGCGTGGTGGCTCATGTCTGTAATCCCAGCCTTGGGAGGCTGAGGCAGGAGGATCGATGTGAGTTCGAGACTAGCCTGGGCTACATGGTGAGTTCTAGGTCAGTCTCAACTACATAGTGAGACCCTGTCTCAAAAAAACAAAACAAAACAAACAAACAAACAAAACCCACCAGAAACTTAGTGAGATCCTGCCTCAAAATTTAAATTTAAAAAGGATACCAGAAGGGTGGCTACCAAAGTCTGGGAAGTGTGGGAGGGAGTGGTTATGAAGAGAATTGTTAACAGGTATAGCTGAATAGGAAAAAGAACTTCTAATGTTCTGCAGCACAACAGGGTAACTGTGGCTGACAACACTTACCTGACTACTTCAAAATAACTGGTAAAGATTTTTAATGTTCTCAACATAAAGAAATGATAAATGCTTGAGACGATGGATACATCAACTAACCTAATGTGATCATTACAATTGGACACATATATTGAAATATCACCCTGCACCCAAAAACAGTATAATTATTATGTCAATTAAAAAGTTAGAAAAAAGAAAACATCTCAGAATGAAAAAGGAAAAAAACCCGCCTGCCCTGCATCCTGTTCCTTAGGGACCTTCTTTTAGCACATCTGAAGAGAAGCTGTCCCACACAACATTGTGCAAATGGTGGGAATGTTCTCTCCACACACTCAAAATGGCCCACGGGTG